TTTTCCAACTTACATGGAATTGGAAAACTTTTTCACATTTGCTAATCAAACTTTGTTCAGTGACCGTTTGGGTAAAAAAAAATATATATATTTTTTTTCTTTTAGACACGAGCCACGAGCCGAGCATGCCGCTCGCGCGAGCGGCTCGTTGCTTAACGAGCCGAGCAGGCCGGCTCATCTACCGAGCCACCTGCTCGGGCTCGTTTTTTTACGAGCTCGAGCGGCTCGTAGGTATGAATAGTACGAGCTGAGCACCCGAGCCGACGAGCCGCTCGACCCATTGCCACCGCTAGAGGGACTTTCACATTACACGCACATGAGAAAAAATTGTAAACAATGAAGAAAGAGTTTTTGCACATTGGATGGGACGAGAATAAGATCCAAAATCAAACGAAAAAAAAACATCGAGAAATTTTTATTGGCTTGCCATGATGTGTTTAATGATGAATTGAGTGATTTTGCATATGATCAAACTATTTCAACATAGCTTGCCAAACCCAAAGTGTCGAACAAACTTATTGAGGTTTGCATAAATTATATTCATCTTCTCTTAGTAACATAATTTTTAATAAATATTTGCTTGGTTGTAAATCATGATAAGTGTATTTTATACATTTATTCGGGGTCTAAAATATCGATATTTGGTAGATTTTTGACAAAATATATTCTGTATTGTTGTATTCTATATTATATACGTAAAATTCAATGGCTGAACGAGAAATAGGAAGAGACACGGTAAAAATGGCGAAATTCAAAATTTGATGATCAAATTGCAAATATTCAGTAGTTGATTCAAACCATAAAATGATACTTTTAATATTGCTGTGAGGTAATTTGATGGAATTATAAGTCAAAAATGAATGAATTATGATCAAAATATTATCACAAATTAAATTTCAGTCACACGAATTATATTACGGATTTTTAGTAAAAAATTGAGACCCATTTTTGATATAGTAAACGTCGGAATTGAAAATTTTTACTTCTACCGAAGTCGTAAACTTTGAATTATCTTTCCAACTCACTTTGAATCGTCTCAATCGAATATTGGGAGATAAAGTTATGACTAAAATATCGACTACTGTATAGAGACAAAAACATGCTCGCGCAAAGACAACTTTCTTTATTTGATTAGAAATATTTTGAAAATCAATTTGGATGTGATTTTCAACCAATTTTCTATTCTTACGAATACCTGACAGAATAATACATTAGAGAGGCCTCTCGTACGACAATATTTCATCAATTTTTATCATAAAAGTAGAGCAAAATCATATATTGTGAAAAGATTTCAAAGGCGAAATTCAACAACTCATTAATTGGAGATGAAATCTGAGATTTGTGGAAGAAGAAATAAAAGAATTATTGAAGATTTATCAAAGTTACTTTGAAGAAATTCAAGAACATCGAGATTCATATTCCTTCATTCGATAATTCATAATTTCGGGTGATGTTCTATACATTTGATATGATTTTTTGTAATTTCAATATGTTAGGTTAGTTTTATACTTTGTTAAGATGAAATGAACCATTGTTATGATATTTTTATTTTTTAATTAATTATTTTCACTTTAATTTGGTTTGATTTGTGAATATTTATTATCATTTTTATCATTCTTTTCAATTACTTGATCGTCAATTGAATTGTTAGTGGATTTTATTGTTATCGAAAGAGATAATATGGTGTAAACACAATATAATAAACATTGTAAGATTCGGTAAATGATAGAGATATACATATATGATTTATATTGTTTCAATATGTGTTCTAACACTTGTTAATGTATTTATCATGTTTACAATTTTTATCGAGAAATAGAACGGTCACAGGAGGGGAATAGATTTGATTGCTATTGAAATATGCTTTCAATTAATTTAGGAATATTGATCAAAATGAATGATTTCAAATTGTTATACTAAAAATTGAATAATAAAGGGATTTGATATCTTAACAATGCATATCACATATTTGAAATAACACATTCACTTGTTTTCACTAGTTTAATTGACAATTTATGGATTATTATATATATATAAAAAAGGTAAATAGCACAGAACGTCCCTACTTTTCAATGTCATTATGCAAACATCCATGTCTTTAATTTTTGGCATTTTCATCCCTACTTTCCACCTTTCATTGCGCAAAAGGTTATTTTCAACTATTTTTTCAATAAAGTGATGATTTTATCCTTCTATTCAAATGAAACAAAAATGAAAGAAAAGAAAAAATAAACAATTAATTGCAATCATAGTCCTAAATTTTCAAAATATTACAGATAAATCCTAAATTCTCCACACCACCACCACTTTCACAACCCCACCAAGTCGCCTATAGATCCACGTAGCACCACGACCGTCGAACTCCACTACCACTAGCCTCGCTTCACTCTCCCCAATATCCTCTCCCACAATATTGGTCACAAAATCTATCGAAAACAGCCACATTTGCAGCCTAAAATACCAAATTGCCTATACAACTCTTCACGGCAACCCCATTTTCGACGCCACCCACGGTCGTACACGTCCACCGATGGTTACCCCTCACCTCAGCGAACCTATACATGGCCTCGCATCAATCAAACATGGCTCAAATCATTCAACTGTAA